GCTCTATCCCAGCCCTAGGGGTAGGAACTGTTCCTTATTTTCTCATATTCTTTAGAGGTCCCTTTACTTCTTACTAGCCAATCCCGTTTCTTCGATCCCGTTTTAGTTAATAATTCTTTATATTAGACTTTCCCAGTTCCTATTACCTTGTGGTTCTCAGCCTGCAACACATCCTGCGCATTGTTATGAGGATCAGGAATAATAATGCAGTCAGCGCTCTGCTCAGCTCAGTCGTGACCTGCAGGGAGGACTCAGAACAGCTGTGATACCATGACCATTTCTCCTCCCCGGTACCTGTGCAGTGGCCTTATTAACTGTCGCCGCGGTTCCACAGCACAGAAGGAGTTTGGAATCACTGCACTCGTGATGGACATTTGGATCATTCCACTTTTCTGTTCTTACAAACATATGATCCACATAAGCACCGTCATTTACTGAGCACGCACTATGTGCTACGCACTGGAGCAATTACACGTTAACTCACTAATCCTCACAACATGCCTACTGCATTCGTGTCCTGTGGCCACTGTAAGAAATCACTACAAATTTAGTGGCTTGACACACTTATCTTACAGTTCTGAAAACGAAGGTGTCAGCGGGGCTGTGTCCCTTCTTAGGGCTGCAGAGGAGACTCTGTTTCCTTGTCTTTTTCAGCTTCTAGAGGCACCCATGTACCCTGGCACTTCGTGACCCCTTCCTCACATCACTCCGCCCTCCCGCGCCCATCATCGTGTCTCTTCTCCCTGTGATCCTCCTGCCTCCCTCGTGTGACTGCATCGGGCCCACCTGGATAATCCATCCTCACATCACTCCGCCCTCCCGCGCCCATCATCGCGTCTCTTCTCCCTGTGATCCTCCTGCCTCCCTCTTATGAGGACTCCCGTGACTGCATCGGGCCCACCTGGGTAATCCGGGGTCTTCTCCCCCTCTCAAGACCCTTAATCACAACAGCAAAATCCCTTTTACTGTGTAAGGTAACATATCCACAGGTTCCAGGGTTTGAGAAGATGTTATTCAGCCTACGACACCTATGGAGCAGATAGTCTTATTCCGTCCATTTTACAGACAAGGAAACTGAGGGACAAAGAGAGCAAGTAACTTGGCCAAGATCACACAGCTCCTCAGCAGCATAGCTGGCTCCACAATCCAGGCTCTACCAGATACACAAGTTTGCGTAAACCTTTGCATACTTGAACGAGGGCTTGCGTAGGACACATTTCTAGAAGTGAATTACTGGGGCAAAGTGCTTCACAGGTATTGCCGACTCGTGTCTCACTGAAGCTGTGCCAGTTACTTCCCACCATAGCGCTGCAGTTCTGGATTCCTCCTCCCAACTCTTGAAGCTGAGAGGGCAGGACGTTACTTGAATACACGGAACCAAAGGATTTTACAACTTCCTATCAATTGAGTAACTGAAGATGTTTCTTTTCCATGAAAGGAGATCATGATCTTAATTTAAAAAAAAAGAATTACAGTGGGAATAAAGACCTGTAAGTTTCCTGGAGAAAATAAAAACATTTGGTCACCATAACATAGTGCAAGACTGAGAATACTGTCCTAACGCTGATGGTGATTCCAGCTGTATTTCCTCATGCTCTGCCTTGTCAGAGACGCTATGTTTGGGGGATTAATTTTCCTGCCTTTGTGGATTGTTTCCATCTCCCGTGTCATCTGGAGATCTCTGGTTAACACATCACTTCCATCACTGAGCCTTTCCAATCACCCCCTTTATTTTGCATCTATGCCCCAAATCTTGTTTACAACTTCCTTTGCAAGGCCTTCCATTTCCCTTTCCAGTGTGCTGTTTATACGGGGCCAAATACTTCTGCTAAACACAACAGCGAACACTTATATAGTTACTTTTACAATCTTCATCTTACGGACAAGGAGAAGGGGTTGAAGTGACTTGCCCAAGATCCCATAAAAATGAGATTCAGAACTAGGTATCTGCCTCCAGGTTCTGCCTGCTTGACATTCGACTGTATCTCTTCTGGAGCGACTGGCCACCTGGTGTCCCTGCAGGCCCCATGCCTTCCTGTCCTAGGTCGTCCACTGGTCATGGCAAGGGTTGCAGGGCTGCTTGGACTCCTGGCTGGTGAGGGAGGCTACCAGCAGCACAGTGACTCGGGCCCTGCCACTTCCTTCTGTATGAGTTTTCAGAGGCTCGATGTCCTCATCTGTGAGATGGGAACAACACTGGCCCCCCCTCATCAGACAGTGATGAGGAACTGGTATTATCCCCTTTTACAGTGTACGAAACGGAGGCTCGCTGTGAGGGCGGGGCATGCACAAGGTGAGAGCTTGGGAAAGGGGTGCGGTCCCCTTCCTAAGATGGTGGCCTCTCTGCTGGGGTCTGCTGTAGAAGCAGAGTTAGTTAACACAGAATCTGTGGGGCAGCTCCCTTTCCTGACACTTCATTTGTGACTCTGCTCTCTGTTGTGCTCTGCGCAGCCTGTCCTAGGCGTGGTGCCACCTCCGCTGTTCTGTGCACTGGGGACTCCTCAGTCTCCCCCAGCCCAGTGGCCCTGCCATTCGTTTCCTCTCCAGGCAACGCCCCGTCACCGCACAGACCTAGCATTCGGTAGGTGCTAAGAAAATGTCACTAACCAAATGCCACCACATGAACCCTATATTCTTAGACCCTCCCCTCCAACCATAATCTCCACCCCAAAGCATCACTCCACCCAACCTCTCCCTCCCCATCATTCCACACTCACGAGCACACAGCCCAGGCTGTGGCTCACCTCTTCAGTAGGATAAAGTTTTAGACTATATTTTGGCATTTAAGACCTCTGCCCCCCTCCATTAACAGGATGCTTCCCACCCCTAGTACTGCCAATTTCATGCTCACAATGTTGTCACTGTCTTCCTTCAAAGTCAACAGAAAGATCTCTAGTCGCCTGTTCTGCTCCAGGCAGCCAGCACCATGTCTGATCCTTCCTCTGTATGACTGTCCTGCACAGGTACTTGGTCAAGGAAAGGGAGAGAACAAATCTCTGTTGAGCAGTTGTTTTGTGTCAAGTGAGGTGCAGGGCACCATTCACCCCAATTTATAGATGGAGAACTGAGGCTCCTAGAGGGTAAAGGGAGTTCTCACAGCCAGTGAGAGGGGTTGCATCGGAATTCAAACCCAGCTCTGCTGACTTTGGTCTCCTTGTCCTGAAATCTGCTCCCAAAGACAACCCAACCGGACATTTCTTAAGCTGTTCCAGGATCTCACCCACACTCCATAGGGGTTGGCTGTGGGACTACCACCAACCCTGGGTCCCCTGAGACCCTATCTGCAGAGGGGCCATTGCCTGCCTAGCCTCTCCTGGACACTGGGCTCTGTCCAGCTAAGGGGCTAGGTCCCCAGCAGTGTAACTGGTATTTGAGCTGTTGACACTACTTTGCCGCTTACAGTCCCAATCTGTATGGGTGCTGTGAGGCCTGGAGGAGATGCCTGCCCTGTAGACCAGAGAGCCAGGTTTGCTGGGCCCAGGAGAGCAGGGGCCCCGCTTGGCCCTCTGTTCTCTTCGGGACTCGCTGGGCCATTCTCCCTTCACCCTTCTCCTTTCCTGGGGTCGCTGCCTCTTCCCTCGCCAGGTCTTATCTCCCTACCCCAGAGGTCCTGGACCTCCCCTGGACCTTTGCTTCACTCTTTGGCCCCCACTCACACTCAAGAACTCTGTCTCCTTGTGCCTATCGCCTGGTCACTCCACCAACACTAACATCTTGCTGGATCCCGAAGGTGTCCACTGGCTCGTGGGAGAAAGTGCCTGCCTTAGGAACAATCGCCCTCCCTGTTTCTACTTCACTCTCACCACATACACCCTTTCTTGTCTGTCTGTCGACTGCTCCATCCGTCTTCTCATCTCTTCTCTGCCTCGGTTTCCCCATCCTTTGTTCCTTCTCAAGATCTCGTCTTTATAATTACGGTTGGACGTGGACACTATTACCACCCACATTTTAGATATAAGAACACGGAGGCTTGGAGAGTTTGGGTGACCTGCCAGCGCCGCGAAGCTGGTAACTGGCGGCTTCTGCCCAGCGCTCGCTCGGAGGGGCGTTAGAGGTTTGGACCCGGCACCGCCTTCAGCCCTCCGCCCCG